CCTGGCCCTGCCATTACAGCAAGGATCACGTTGGTATTTTAGTAAACCAAGATGTGAAAATTCGTGTCGCAATGGAGTGGCTTTTATCTATTAAGCGATCCACTATCAGAGGGATGTAGGGGAAGAAGATTCTCCTCAAATACCTGGTGTTGTCTTTGAAATATATGAATGTGTCTTTCTTATAACTTTGACCCTTAAAAGTTTGGGGTTTTTTTTCGCTGAGGAAGATTCACCCTGAGCTAACATCCACTGCCAATCTTCTTCTTTTTTTTTTCTCGCTTGAGGAAGATTAGCCCTGAGCTAACATCTGCTCCAGTCTTCCTCTATTTTGTATGTAGGTCGCTGCCACAGCATGGCTGATGAGTGGTGTAGGTCCGTACCGGGGATCTGAACCAGTGAACCCGGGCCACCGAACTTAACCACTAGGCCACGGGGCTGGCCCCTGGATTTTTTTTTTTAAATCATGAAGTCAGTTGTTTCCAACTTTGAGGATCTACCAACAACTGGCTCTTTATTAAATGAGCTTTGCTGGCTGATAGAATAACTTCTTGCTTATACCTTAGTCTCTCTGTTGCCTCCCCTTTTTGAGTAGTTCAGGCAGTGTAATAAGGAACTATGTAATTTTCTTATTCCTTGGTCTTGAGCACAACACATTCTCTTGATTTCCATGATTGTCTTGCCAAGGAACTCACATTAGGTATTTGAAGTCTAGAATAGCAGTGAGCAGAATTTGGAAATCCTGATCATTCCTCAGCCCCTGCTGTGCGTAGAGCTCTGCCTTGCCTTGTAAAGCTCTCCTCGGGAGTCGTGGCAGAGGGTGGTCACTCTGGACCCATCAGTCCCCCCTTCAACATGTAAACACAGTCACAGGAAGCCTGGGCTTTACTTGCCATGGAAAGTTCTGCCTCAACCCTAAAGCAGCCTGAGAGACAAGTTAGAGCCAAGAAGTGCTGCTTTTGATTCTGGCAGTGACATTCCAAAGGAGAGCAATTAAAATAATAGAAGTTTGAAGAGCAAACAAAAGCCATGGAATTAGAGCTCTTTCACCTAGAAAAAATTAGAGAGAAGAACCTGTCGTGAAGTATAATGTGCAAAAGCACGTCTCCATGGGAGCTGTCTAGCCATTTTTTCTTTTTATTGAGGATGGCGCGAGAAGGAATATTTTATTTTGATGGCTTGTAGGCTAATTCTAGTAAGAATCGTTAGGACTCCAAGGTCCCTCTGCAAGTGCTTCCACCGCCACCACCTCCAGGTTTTCCAAGGGTCAGATGGACCAAGAGCCTTAAGGTGGGTAGGACCACCTTATTTTAGGCTATTCATGGTCAAAAGATCCACTGATGTGGGCCATTAGCAATGTCTGGCAAGTTCTCACAAGTTGCTATATTACTAGCCTTGTGTTTGGGAATTGGTTAGAAAGAGAAGTTGTGAGAAGGAAAGGAAAACAAAGTAGCAAATTACCCAAACATGAACACAACCTGCCAAGATCTTTCACTCTAGGCAGGGTGTGATAAAGCTTTCTTGCTCTACAGCTGTCTATATGGGTTTTTCAGTTTATCACGGGAAGTCAGCTGCCCCCATATCTAGTACACAGCGATTGTCTACCAACTCTGTTTTTGCTAACTCGTAACAATATTGTGTATTAATGAATAGATTTTTTAAAAAGCCAAACTTTGAAATGCATACACTTCTCCATTCACTATTATTTGAACAAAGCTTGATAAGGACGACAATTCAAATCTTACAGACTAATAGAATTATCTAGAAGACTTCTAGATCAGCATTGTCCAATTAAAATATAATGCAAGCCACATATATAATTTTTAATTTTCTAGTAGTCACATTTAAAAAAGTAAGATGAAACCAGTGAAAATAATTTTAAGAGATTTTGTATAACCCGATTCCAAAATAGTACTTCAACATGTAATTAATATAAAAATTATGAATGAAGTATTTTATACTTTTCTGTTTCATACTAAGTCTTTGAAATCTGGTATATATTTTACACTTAAGCACGTCTCAATTCGGACTAGTTGCATTTCAAGTGCTCGGTAGCCACATATGGCTCCTAACTACTGTGTTGAATAAATAGTGTGGCTGTAGAGATAAATATTAATAATCGATGAGTTGTTTTAGGAAGACTAGGCCAGACAGAGTGGAAATCTTCAATTATTTTGAGGGAGGTGAGAACAAGACTAGACAGTTTTGATGAGGTATTTTTCCTTATATGAGAAAACTATAATTTTCTTCTAAGCAATGAATCAACATAAAAAATGTTATCCATTAGCAAATGCAGTCTCATATTATGTGCCATTATATGACCTAGCTTTAAATGTTTCATTTCTGTCATTGGTAATTTTGGGGAAGTGTTTAATTTGGGGCAGTAAGCTTGGCTAAAAACTACAGATATGAAAGATCTCAGATATTCTATTTTATAAAGTGCCTGGTTGGCAGTCTGAAGAATAGGCTTGTGCAGTGGCCTAGAATACGTGGCCTGGTATTGGAATGTATGAAGACTTCCTTGGAACAGGGCCCAATTCATGTTGCTATTTAAGATTCATCCATGAAGGGATCCCCTGTTGACCTGAGTTTCACATCCTACTTTTTTCTACCTTTGAAAATATAAAAGGCACTGTCATTCCTGGCAGCCCAGCATGGACACGGGTAAAACATCAGGCAATTTCTCGTTCCTCTTTAATCCCTCGGTCCCAATATTGGCTAGCTAGCTTGGAGTGAAAGTAAGCAAAGAAATGAGTCTCTCTGTTGTGTTCATTTTTCACCAATCCTGATAATAAGTATTTGCCAAGAGTTATATAACTGTTAAATATAGTTTTCTATACTAGAGAGAAGGTTGATTCTTGTCTAGTCAGAAAGTCAGAGCTTGCCCTGGAGACTAGTGTATCCAGATCTTGGGGGGGGCGGGGGGGATGGTGTAGGTTGATCTAGACTTTTCCAGATGCCCCAGCTTTCATAGAGAGTATATCCAACTTAATGTTTGGTACTAACTCATAGCCTCTTTGGACCCTTGGAACCTGAAAGATTCCTCACCTATTTTCCAAGTTGGTGTCCAGTTCTGAAAGTAAGATCAACCTCGTGGTTACAGTTATGGTGGATGCCAATGGGAAGAAAACCTTGTGTCTGCTCCTACTCTGAACTGCCCAGGACTTGAACACCAGTCCTGAACGTGGGCAAGCATCCTTGGCTGCGAGCTTACCTAAATGTCTGGCTGCTTCTTGAATTTTTGCCACCTTCAAGTTGGATCAAGCTTTTTAGGGCAAGTGCATTTTAACTACCATATGGTTAACTGCATAACCAATCCATGTTTTATAGGCCATAAAGTTGTTATAGAGCAAGCAGAAAGAAGATTGCAAAAGCTTTAAAAATTTGCAGCAAACTTAGACCATGTGCTCGTGGCTTTGGCTGATAAATTACTCATTTCCTACATCTTACCATTACTCATTTCCTACATCCTACCATTTCTTCTTGTTGACCCAAGTTAGTGCCTTTATTTTATATTCATAACTTTAAAATTGGCATTATAAGTTTGCTCTAATTATTTGCCACGAATATAAACTATCTAGAAAAAGTCAGAATGTTGATTTGCTGGATTCTTTATATTCTAGAAATATTGGTACCAGCTGTGTGAAGAACTTTATTATAGAGTGAAACCAAATTCATGTTCCTTTTGAAAAATGATCGTTAATCTATATTCTTGTTATTGTGTTTGTCTTATTATAACCTTCCAAGCATAAGTTTCACTCTTCTGTTTTTCTAACAAAATCCATAAACATGGATTTTGCTGGTAAGGTAACGTGCCAACATGAGGTAAATTTCTTCATTAATCACACTCTTTATTGTGAGGCATTTTGTCTCTATAAACCTGTGATCTCATTACTAGGGGGAAAAATTGGTGATCCTGCCTTACAAATGAAGAAGATTGGAACTTGGTGTGTTTCACCAGAATAGCTTCTGAAAGGTTAAATTTCACGTAGGGCCTTTTTGGACCCGAGATTTAAGTGCTATGGATATTAACTGACCTTTTGACTTTACAAGTATTCTTTTTTTATGCCCTTTCCTACGCACTCACAGCCCCATTTCTTTAAAATGGCTCCTCTATTTATTATTTAATTGTATAATTACACTGTCACGTTATCTATCTTTACATGGACTGTTGTAGTTAATCAAATATAACTCTGTAATAGCATGACCCCACATCTCCCACAAATGGAATGTCAGCTTTCAAGTAGAGATTTAGAGAAATATTGGGTGAGAGGGTAAGTTTTAAAGGGGGTGTGGGTCTTAATATTTTGGTTTGTTTTTCTTGCCCAGTCTTAGAAAATTATTGTCTGTGCGACACTTTCTTTAATGCCATATACGAGTAAAAGGTAAAATGGATGCTTAATGACTTAAGCATCCGTTAGTCAAGTAGAGGTGGTTCCAGGATGGTAGCTTAAAATTGTGTGGAATTATAGTGGAATACTTAAAATATAGAACGGTGTTTTGCAAAATTCCATGAGAATCACATAGAATAAATTTTAAGGACATAGGAATCACTTGTGCTTGTTAAAGCTATAGATTCCTTGTGCCCTGATGGCTGAGCCCTTAATTTAGTGCATCTGGATTAATCTGCATCTATTAGTTATTCCACGTGGGCACACTCTGAGGCCATGGATGCAGTGCTTCCTGAACCTTAACGCGCATGCACATGTCACTGGCATCTTGTTGAAGTGCAGACTGAAGTTGAATAGGTCAGAGTCGTGCCCGAGACTCTGCATTTCTAACACACTCCAGGTGATGCTTTAGAAACTCCAGCTTTGCAACCCAACCTCCCCTGGGTACCTTTGCTTTTTCTTCTGCAGCTAACTCGCTACCTTTTTGGTTTTGCCTTTATACATTTGGGCTGCTTTTTAATCTCCTTGAAACCTTCTGCTTAAATATAATTTTAAAATCCTTGCTTCTTTTTCTTATCTTGTCCTTTTTCTTTATTTTTTTCCTGCACACAGATGTGCACCAGTTGCGTCTTGAAGTGCCAGCAGCTGTAGCAGAAGTTCCAGAGCCCAGGACCACAGCCAGGCGCGCCTCCTCCCCAGAACTGGCGACCATGGAGCTCTCTGACAGCGACCGCCCCGTCAGCTTTGGCTCCACGTCGTCCTCGGCCTCTTCCCGGGACAGCCACGGTTCCTTCGGCAGCAGAATGACCTTAGTTTCAAACAGCCACCTGGGCTTGTTTCACCAGGACAAGGAAGCCGGGGCCATAAAACTGGAGCTGATTCCAGCCAGGCCGTTTTCCAGCAGCGAGCTGCAGAGGGACAGCCCGGGCGTGCAACAGGACACGCACGAGGGCAGCGAGAGGCAGCCCCGGGCCCAGCGGAGAGGGGAGGCGAGCGGGGCGACCAGAACAGGTGCGGAATCGGCCACCAGCCCCAAGCTCCTCTACGTGGATCGAGTCGTTCAGGAAATTCTGGAGACCGAAAGGACTTACGTGCAAGATTTAAAAAGCATCGTAGAGGTAAGGCCAACCTGTTTGTTTAACGTTTGCCATGCAGGATAAAAATACTTGCAAAATAAAGAGGAAACCCAGGTGTCAGGGATGTGTTGGGAATGTTTAAACAGATCATAACGTAAGGCAAACCCTAGGGCCGTACTCATTGTGTTAAAATCCTCTTAATATTTGCATTAGCGATTTACACGTTAGAAGCAAGAATGATGATACCACTGCGCACACCAGGATGTTAATAAATCCTACACTGAGGATCTCAGAGTGCATCGCAGAGGATCAAGCAGGACGGAAGGCTCCTGACTTGCAGGTGTCAGGTGTGTCCTGGCTGAGCCCATCAGGCTGTCTTCACTGTAGTCACAATTGTCTTCTGGTATCTGGATGCTTCTAAAATGACTGATACCTGTGTCCCACCTCCAGAACCTGGGATTTTGTGGATCTGGGGTGTGGCCTGGGTGGTGGGCTTGTGGAGGATCCCCAGGTGATTCTTTTTTTTTTTTTTTTTTTTTTTAAAGATTTTATTTATTCAGTTTTTTCCCCCCAAAGCCCCAGTAGATAGTTGTATGTCATAGGTTCACATCCTTCTAGTTGCTGTACGTGGGACTCGGCCTCACGTTGGACGGAGAAGTGGTGCCTCGGGGCGCTCCCGGGATCCGAACCCGGGCCGCCAGCATCAGAGCGCGCACACTTAACCGCTAAGCCACGGAGCCGGCCCTCCCCAGGTGATTCTAATGTGCAGACAAGGTTGGGAACTACCGTTCGATGCTGTTCTCTGTCTTGGTGTTTTGGGGAAGGTGGTGAACAGTAGAGAAAAACTGTGGGCTTTGTCTTGTCTTCAGCTTTTACTTCCTGTTCACTTCTGTAGTAAACAAGTTTGCATGAATTATTTGACTCCATGCAAATTGAGCTCAGCTTATGTGCCAGATGGCGTACTCTGGAAATTCAATTATTAACTTGACTTTGATTTATAGATAGGTTTTTAAGGATAAAGTAAGAATTACCAGAGCAGCTCAGATGTTAACTCATTCTCAATTAATGATTAAAAACATTAATATTTCGAAGGCAAATTGATGTATTATGAAGCTACACTCCCTTTGCTGCCTAGAAATATACCAAATTTTTTCATTGGTTACTGCCTACTTCCTGTTTTAGACTTTTAATCTAAAATATGTTTCAGAGTATAGCAGAATATTTGCTAATGAGCAGGTTCTCCACCAAATACATTCTTATAGCTTTAGAAAAAATATTCTAAGGCACTATTGTGTGTGGAGTTCCATAAATGATAGAACCAGACACTGTCTCCTAAAAATAGTTATGACATAACTTCCCAGGAAAAATAGAAAAATCAATTGATGCTCAACCAAAACAATATGTGATACCAAATGTAGAATAAACCAGGCCAACTGGTTTTTTAATTTCAACAATGAGGTCATTTGTACTTGAGAAGAAATACCTGTGAAATTGCCAAAAATTTTGCAACCTCAGGAAATTTATGATTGTCAAAGCTTTCTTTGATCTATCCTTTTTTTTTTTTTCTCGGAAACTTTTCCACCTAGTCAAAACTCGCCATACCGAGAGAGAAACCTTTAGTTACTGAACTGGTATTCCGTGAACACTCTTGTTTTTTCTGAGGCTGGTTGATCAACTTTGGGTGAGAAGAAATAAGGTAGAATATGAATGAAAGAAAAGAGATCAAGACAATATTAGAAGTTCTATTTCAAGCTGTCCAAATGTTCTTGCCTTTTTTTCTTTACCCATGACTTAACCATGTTTTACACTAGGGGTTGGTGGACTTTTTCTATAAAGGGCCAGATAGTAAATATATTTTGGACTTTCTGGGCCCTAAGATCTCAGTCACAGTTGCTTAACTGCTGTTGTAACTCAAAAGCAGCCATAGACACTTTGTCAATGAACGGGTGTGGAAGTTCCAGAAAACTTTACGGCCAGGTTTGACTCAAGGGCCACAGTTTGGACTGTAAATTTGTGTCTATGTTGCATCGACTGTAAAATGGGATTAATAAATTGTATCTGCCTCATAGGTTTATTATTATGAGAATTAGGTTAGGTAATATATGAAAAGCTCACACAACACTACCTGGCATATGGTAAGCAATTAATAAATGGAAACTATCACCATCACCAGCTTCCTCTGAATTTGCTGGTTGAGAGTGATCACCATTGATACATGGGCATACCTCGGAGATATTGCGAGTTCGGTTCCAGACCACTGTAATAAGCAAGTATCACAATAAAGCGAGTCACACGAATTTTTTGGTTTCCCAGCATATAAAAGTTATGTTTATACTGTACTGTAGTATATTAAGTGTGCAATAGCATTATGTCTAAAAAAAAAAAAACTGTGTGCCTTAACTTTAAAATACGGTATTGCTAGAAAATGCTAACCATCATCTGAGCCTTTAGCAAGTCATAATCTTTTTGCTGGTAGAGGGTCTTGTAAAAAACACAATGTCGGGACCAGCCCAGTGGCGTAGTGGTTAAGTTTGCGGACTCCACTTGAGCGGCCCAGGGTTCGCAGGCCCAGATCCCGGGCACGGACCTAGGCACTGCTTATCAAGCCATGCTGTGGGAGGCATCCCATATATAAAGTAGAGGAAGACGGGCACGGAGGTTAGCCCAGGGCCAATCTTCCTCAGCAAAAAGAGGAGGATTGGCAATAGTTGTTAGCTCAGGGCTAATCTTCCTCACCCAAAAAAAAAAAAAAAAAGAAACAAAAAACACAATGTCTGCGAAGTGCAATAAAACAAGGTATGCCAGTGTACCAGCATTTTTAGACTATATTTCACCTAAAGCCTTTCACAAAAATAATCAGACCAGTCACTTCACTGTAGCATAAATTTAATTAGGAAAAAATTTTTAACAGGTGATTCCAACATTATTTTGAATGCATTTAGATTATTTCTAATGAATCCACTGAAGATCTGAGGTGGCACATAATTAGGATGAGGAAAGAGGAAGGGTGTTGGGAGGGAGGGTAGTTGGGGAAGAAAAGTCCACACGTGGAGGGACGTTCCCATGTAGGAAGAAGTAGATGCTGCTTTGTTCCAGAAGTCACCCGAATGCTTTGGATCCTTGACCCTCTCTCCACCTGGAAAAATCAGAACCACTTCACATCAGGGCTTAGTTGATCACAGGCTCTTCTTCATATACTTGTGGTATGTGACCACCTCTATTTCTCAAGATCGCCATTTTAACAGAATGGTTAGACCCGTTTTGTCTAGTTCTTTCCTTTATGAAGAGTAACCAATTATTTTCCAGCTTGCAGAAACTCTGCCCAATAAATACTGTTGTAATGGGTATTTTAAAATACAAAGCGTCAATTCCTTTAAAATCTGTTTGCCTTGATCCATGTCAGCCTGTTTTTATCATTCTATGGCTGACTTCTCTAATATCCTTGATTTTTTTCAAATGCAGAATTTTAAATTGGGGAAAGGGCTGTCATTAACAACCTCCTGTGACAAGCTCTTACCACGCCTAAAACGCAGAGCTTGTTGGCTTTTTCTAAACAAAGATTATTTCTGAAAAAAAGAAAAAGAGTCTAATTGTAGAGATAACTGGTAAATCACTTTTCATGTACACAGTAGCACAGTTTCGAACTTTCTGCACTCTGCTTTGTTGAATCCCATCTAACTAATATCCTTCAATAGTCATTCTCAGTTTAATTAATCTCCCCCATAAGGGGTACATTTTAACTGTGTACCATATCGATACATAATCTTCACAGACCAGGTTTAGATTTTGTTTTAGGATTTACAGACAGAAATATTTTTGTGAAAGATCATTGATATACACATTGATTTCAAAGATGTTAACACAATGCTTCCACATTTTCAGCATGGTCCCAAATACCATCAGAGTAGCTTATTTCTGCCAAGAGATCCATCTCACCATTGGGGCAATAGGGTTTCCCAGAAAATGGTTACACATGCAAAGGAGGTTGTATGCCTTTTTCCCCTGTGTATAGAGACATTGTATTAAAATAATCCCAAATATAAGGTATTTTTCCTTTCCCACGCCATTTAGAGATTCAGAAATTGATTCTTAGTGCTGTCTGAAAATCAGCCATACAATGTCATTCTTACCTCTCTTCCTCTTCATCCTTTTCATTCCCCCCACACCCTTCTCTCTGGGCCCCCTCACCTCCCCACCATGGCTACTCAATCCTCTGCTCCTTTGCCCAACATCCTAGTCATTTACTTTTGTACACTTGACATTTTAGAGAGAGAGGTGAGGTTTTGTCTATCACCCCATGCTCAACCCAACAATGGAGCTGTTATTTTCATCTCTATATATGGCTCCTAATAGCATTCAGAGATAAAATGAGATATTAAATATGAAAGCAAGTTTTAAAAGTAAAATAGCCAATGATACAATTTGTAGAGAAAGAGAAATCCGTAGTTGGAAAGTAGCAAATAAGGGTCTCTTTCATGTTTAATGGGACCTTAGATTGACTGAGCGGGGACTCGCATGAGTCGAGTGGGTTTCTTTAATCTTTCTAAATGATCTGTAAAAGAGCCTTTGAGAACCTCATGAGATTTGGTCCCAGATATAGTTCATGGCCTGTTTCAACCTTTGAGGAAAGTTTTTAAATAGTTCATAATGTTACATAATGCTGTGTAATTAGAAGTTACATCTTTCCTGCAAAATGGCTTCTTTGAACTATAAGAGATGCTAAATTAAATCATTTAGGGGATGTCGAGGACGTGCATTTAGTGAAAAAGAAAAAGGAAAAATATTAAGTATAACATCAGTTTGATTTTTTTCTGTCATATTCTAGAGAGCTTAAAATCCTTTTCAAGCAGCTTTATCCATACAGTGTGTTAAAAAGCTAAGAAGTGAGTGTGATAGCCTTAATGTTTAAAATTGAAAGAAGCAGAGCCGTAAGCATAGCTTTGTCAAAAGCATTCAGCTTTATTCAAAAGCTGTAGCTAAGCAAGGATTACAGTGGTGACCTCTGACCCCCAGATCTTGTGTTTATTAGTCTATAGGGACTC